GTTATTGATTCATTCATTGATTTTAAATTCGCATACATGTGCGTGTGAGTGAAGAGATCAGTTTATCCTACATGAAACTGGAGGTGAAGGCGAAAATTGTGCAATGTGTCGGTTAAGCTTTTATCGATAGGTTGAAGCGTGCTTTCATTTTCTACACCTCAGTTGAGGTTTATTTCCTTTATACTTATGTTTAGTGTATTTTCCGTCGTTTCGTTGCAAAACTTGTGATCGTACCTTCCTAAGAGAGACACAGTTACGACGTCATATGGTTATTCATAACGCCGACGAGGCACAGAAACCATTTTCATGTAATCGATGCCATAAGAGGTAAGCATAGTTGCAGTCGCAGTCACGAAGCTTACTGATTGTTGTCAATTCTATGGATTTTTCTATGATTTCTTTAAGATTCAATTTGAAGTCGACGCTGAAACTGCATATGGATGTTCACTCCCGCAAAGATGTGGATGATCCCATTTTGACAAACCCGAAATGTCCGGTGTGCATGAAACACGTGAGTTTTGCTACATCGATGTGTTCAAATCTTCTGATACATTTATCTAATAATGTAATGGAGCTCTCCACAATTCTTCATAGAACATAGTTGTTTGACGTGAGTGTGATGGCTAGCTTTAGTGACGAAAAAATATCCTTGTTTGATAGTTCTGGTTTTCAATTATCTGAAGTTTCGTAGAGTGCAGTAGATAGAATCTATAGAAATTCTCGCACAGTTTTGCTCTCCGGACCTCTCCATATCTCCAGAATTGAGTTTTCAATAAACTCTGTTTGGCTGCTTTCGTAGTCCATGACCAGTCGCGCGACTGGTCGCTCGCAAAATCGCGGACTATGAAAGATGCCTTTGAGAGGAATGATTCAAGAAGGTTTGGACCAAATTTTGTGAAGTGTTCTATTGAAAGGTAAATAGTGCTAGAAAACTGGGATAGAATGTATGGTGGAAAGCTGCGATCTTGTCCTCGAATCAGTGCACTTATTTGGTGGTGAGTATAATAGAATAGCAAGACCTGAGCGGAACTCCAATTTTGGGTGGTTTAGGCCGCAGCTATCATGAATTTACATGAGAATGGAACTGCTTGTAAAAATTGATTGTCTCAATTCATCCGTTCCGACTCCGTATATTGCAAAATCTTTTTTTTTTTCAGCTTTCCTCACGTAATGCTTTGAGAAAGCATATGGCAGTCCACGAACTAAACTACGAGTGTTCTGTATGTTTCCAGGTACTGACTTCATGCTTGACTTACCCATTACTTCAAAATGGTACATAATCAGAATCTATTGGTTTTTTGAAACGAATTATTGAAGAAGTTCTCGACCCTTCATCGACTGGACAAACATCGCTGTGTTCCACTCACAGTACTCCCAGAAGAGGTAGATGGTCAGTTAACTGAACTGTCGACTACAACGAAACGTCAGTCGCTAGGTGATGTTCGACAACCGTCTAAGTAAGTTTGTATTAGTTCAGTTTAGTTCATCTCTTCTCACTGCTTGTCTACTTCATATTTTCTATCATTTCAGAAATTACCAGTGCCAATGGTGTCCAAATTCGTTTTATTCATTCCGAGCTTACAAAGAACACTGCTCACAGCATCGTGGATTACGGCCACATCTTTGCTGGACTTGCCATAAGTCGTTCAGAACCAGTGGTTTGTATTTATGTTCGTAATAGATTAATGAACAAATCTACAACTGTGTTTGGGATCCGTTGGTTCAGCGGAAAAGAAAGGGGCCCGTTATGGCACACATCTCCTCGCAGGTTCAGTTTCGCTGGTCGAATCAACCGGCTCGCTTATGACTCATTTTTTTCTGTCTGGCGTGGAACCACGCCTAACCAGTACTCCTCCCAATTCATCCTCCAGCTCATTTCGCTCAACTTCTCTAAATGTAGAGTTTCACAAGCCAGTCAAATTTTTCAGAGGAGTCATTTTTCCCTTCAAGTTAAAGGACGACTTGCAGTGACGGTAGCGTTGTATTCAAGTTTCCATCTTCCCTTCCCCAGTTGCAAGGATTTTAAACACCTGAACCAGTTGAAACAAATCAGGTCATGAGTAGCTGACCACATCGCTATTCTGTAAATCGATCGATGTCTTCTGACCGATATTGATTGAGATCACTGCAGCAATGTTTCCATAAAGTCTCTATCACTAAGACTGATCTGTGAAGGCTTCCTCCTCAAATTCACCCTTCATTTTTTTGTATTTAAGAACTACTCGAACTTCACAAGGAGGTACACAATCGTGGTCCTATTTACTGCGAATTTTGTCCTGCGATCCTCCAAGGGCGGCCGCAGTACACGCAACATGTACAGGCGCGGCATCAACCTGAGTCAGGCGTCGAGAAACACACAGGAGTTGATTTAACAGATAGAGTTAGTTTATCATTCTTCTTGCGTATTTTGAGTTGGCGGCATTTCGTTCTCTGTAATGTTCTATTCTTTGTTAGGTCATATCTCTTTTGAGCATTAATTTGAACAGACAAAGTTTGCTCTTGAGTTTCAAAACTGGCAGGTTGACATAATCTCTCTACTCGTTTGAGTTTTTGTTAATTTTTTCGATGTGGTTTCTAAAATATAGAGCCAGAGAGGGATAAGGTCGTATTTCATTATTATATTATTTCATGTTTGGTTCATGTTTACAAATTTTTCGCTTGTTGAGTCACAACTTATTTGATCTTTACCTACTATTTTGTTGTTCTTCTTCAAAGCAGTTGTAATGATTTTTGTTTAGGCTGCTGGTGCGGTGTCAGCACAGTTTCCAGAACTCACAGGGCGTGAACTGGCTGAAAGTTTTTTCCGCACTCGTGCTCAGTCAGTCACTCAAAATGATGTTGAGCCAGCAGGTATCCTTTTTTCCAAGCTACGCAGGTTTTTTTTTCAAAAATGGTGTATGAAGTTCTATTCATTTCATTCTAGGAGACCCAGTTGTGCCAGATGATCGCCCACTCCGCTGTCAGGTGTGCAGCCATCTGTACGACACTGTTGCATATTTGGTGAGCCACTGGATGAAGTAGGTCTATTTGAGTGTAGCAATTTTTAGGGTGTTCTTGTTTATCAGTTTGGCACTTATTTAAGTGACAAATTGCAGTTGCGGATTCGATCGCGATCATTCGTTCAGTGTAATTTCATGCCCGCTATGCAAAACATCTTTGAATGGTGTGACGGTCGGAGCAGAACACGTGAAAGAGTTCCATCCCCACATTATTGCAAACATAGAAAAGCAGAAAGGAAGGATAGAACCTATGTGAGTTAATAAAATTCAGGGTAGCAAGAGTTATTCAGTTGATTGAAAAGAGCAGCTGCTATTAGTGGCCAGCCATGGCAGACATGGATGCTGCTTGAGAACGAGACGCCTATCGTATCTTTTATAGACAGGGAAGGTACCATAATGTTAGAGGTTTTTCAGAGAACAGTTCGAAGAGTTGAACGAACGTGGTGATGATGAGACAGATGATAATGACGACGACGGTGATGATGATGATGATGATGTCGATTATGTTGTGGGAATGGAATCAAAGTCAAAGGCGAAAAAGGCAAAAGTGGTCATACGCGAGGCGAAACCGCATAAATGCCGAACGTGTAATGCGGCGTTCTCGAGGCCTAGTGACCTTGTCAGACACAATTACGTGCACACAGGTAAAAGCCTTTCTCCATTTTGATGAAATCCAGTTTTGTACTCAACGTAATTTCCGACTTGGGAAATGTTGTTGCAATAGTGGGAAATCGTGTTGAGATGCTCACGTCTCTGTGAGCCTTGTCTATCTGCTCTGATTAATAGGTTGGGATACGTCATCGTTCTGTCCTCTTGTGATTTCCTAATTCCTGATTACAGGGGAGAGGCCCCATGTGTGCGATACATGTCAGCGAGCATTCCGTACCTCCAGTGCCCTCTATGCTCACGCCCGCACCCATACAAGAACGGAACCCGAATTTCCGTGTGTTGTTTGTGGTTCGGTGAGTTGTGCATATTTTAAGAATTTAATCTTCTATTACGATTTCTCTTCAGAATGGTTTTTTAGAAGTTTTTCTCGAAAGGTTCCTTAGTGGTTCATTTGAGAATTCATAGTGGAGAAAAGCCTGTGAAGTGTCGGCACTGCGATGAAAACTTTCGGTACTGTTTCTTACGCTTTATCGAAGTATTTTAACAAAAGTTTGTTCTGTCTGTTCTGTTCTGTTTTCGTCTGTTTAGTGTCAACTCAAGTAGGAAATTTCTTTGAGCTCACAAATTTTTTTGTAAAGTCCTGTCGAGAGAATGCAGTCTAGAATCCGGGTCTAGATTCGTGGCTTACTAAGTTAACGGGTTTGTTTTCAGTACGAGTGCAGACCGTAAACAACACGAAATTACTTGGCATGGAGCGCCTGGTAGCCATATTTGCAAAGGCACTCCCTGCTCATACTGTAGTGCGTCGAAACGAAAACGATTACGGGACCAGAAGCGCGCCGAGGTTCTTAAGTTTGATTCGGTTCAAAAACAATCTATTTCCATTTTTTTTGTTAAGCAAAAAACACTAGCACCAATCTCTGGACCAACGGCACCTCTAATAGGACCTCCTGCTAGCAAAACTATACTGCCTGTGAAACAGATTCCTGCAGTGCCTGTAAGTAAAGCAGAGATAGTGTTTCTTGGATTAATTCATTTCAGATTGGTGCAAACATTTTTTTTTNTTTTTTTTTAGGTAAAACAGTTTATTGATACGGCGGCGCAGATCACGGCGCTCCCGGCCAATCCGATAAAGATATCGGCAGGTTCTGCGTTTGTACCGCTAGTGAGTTTCTTTTTTCTTTCGGAGACGGTTTACAATCAAATTATAATGAATATGTTACAATAATTCTGGGCTATAGTTGTTTTTCTATGAAAACTGACCATAACTCTAATATAAACCCTAAAGTGCATCGATTTATGTTTATTTCTACTTTCTATTGTTATGTCTTATCTTCAATAACGGTTGACACACGGGCTGTATGATTTCTTTTCAGGCAAAAGGCGCAACAATACAGCCGTCAGATGTGGAGTACTTCATCACCGCGAGGCGCATATCCCATAATGAATATACGGTGACATTTTCCAAGTCGAAGCCGAAGTCCATAAGATCCAAGGTAAGCGATGGAGAGCTCCAAAATAGCCGAATCTGCTTAGAAGGTTCGCTCATTTACGAAAAGCAACCATTTTCTTTGAGGTTGACACAACACTTAACCTCACCGCTAGTCTTCTACTGGACTCGGCATCGAAAAACTCCTCAATCCTGCTTACACTTAGCGACTCTCAAATACTTAGCATCTCATGTGCTGGTGCAGTGAAGGCATTGCAAAGTTGCGATACCGGTAAGACCCTTACTAATACTCTTTACTTTATTATGCGATACTTTTCAAATTTATTACAGTTACCAAAAAAGGTCAAAAAGTTTCCAAAGTTATTTTTTATTTTAGTGGTGATGAGAGCTCGTCCAGCTGACCCAGTTTGCCCAAGTATAGTAGAACTACTTGCACCTCAAGAAACGGTGGAATTTGTGACGAGGTAGGTCATTTCGAATCCCTTCCTTCTTAAAGGCTTTCAAAATTGAAAAAAAAATTCCAGGTGTGATGTGTGCGAGGTGGATTTGCATACAAAAGAAGCGAGTGATGCGCACTTTTTGTCTGAGGATCATGAAACGGCTCAGGTAGCGCAATTTCATTTTCTGTTGGGTTTCAAAACGAAAAGAATGCGACTAATCTCACAAGTTTGGCGATTTGTGGGCAAAACTCCAGTCTCGGACGGGACTTGAACCCGTAC